CAAACTACAACTAGAATGAATACAACATAAAATAAATAATGATAACTAATGACTTTTTTGTTTTTGAATTTGTTGTATACTTTATAATACTCATTCACATTGATTCTGATCTCAACCCCCGAGTGAACCATTCATTCAGTTGAGAAGCACTGGTTTACAATACTGAAAGAAATTTTCCAACTACCTACATATCATATAACCACTGGATATCGTCATTTAATCCAGTTAAGACTTTTCTTAATAGAAAAATATAAATACCTCTAAAGTATCAGTTACATACTTTAGTGAATTCAAACATTTAGCTAATTTACAGCTTATGTTGCTATTAATGTCATTTAAAAATGAATAACATGTACCCCTGAATAACTCATTAACAACATCTATCAAACAAATTTATTTCCACAGTCTGCTTTCTACAGCAGACTACTCTTGATCCACATCTTGAACTTTGTAATTCTCTCAATTGTCTGTGAAGTAAATTATCAAAAATTTTCTGAAAGTCAAGAAGAACCTCCTTAAGAATGCTCTAATTGAGAGATAACAAAAGCTTTTTTTTCATCAGTTTTTCAAAATTATCTTTCAAATGATCACTGACAATAGATTTCTATATATTACCAGAGCTTTATCTCTAGAAACCTTGTAAAGTGCTTGACACAGTGCCAAGAAATCGGGGATTTGGGGAGTGCCACAAGCCCCCAGCATGTTGAAGGGGTAGCAACTAGTGAGAGATGAGGAGGTGAGAGTCAATTATCACTAGGGTTTTGAACATATTTACAGGAGTTAGGGAAAAAAAATACTTTTAAAGAGTTAAAACAACAAAAAATTTTGAAGTATACTTGGAAAGGTACATTTTAATAGGAGTTACAGATAGTATTTACCCTTCAAAATTTTAATGCATACTGGAGGGATTTACACATTTTACACTTTTATGTTTAAAATAAAAAAGTTCTTATATAAATATCTGGAGTATAAAGATATTTTTTTCTAAACTTTTTATTCAAATGTATATTTCAAAAAGTCCTAAAGCAAATACAATAAAAAAAGTTAATAATTAAATTAGCCCTATAAACATCATGTTCAACACCCGGTCATGGTGATACATATCATTCATTATCAACATAAAAGAACATGACTAAATAACTTCTTTCAGAATGTCTTTGACAAATTTTAAGTTTTTATTTTCTACCTACGTGAAGCAGAAAGAATAAAGTAAAAATAACTGCACTGGTTTAATTACTTCGAGCTTGATTAAGTCGGTCTTAAATTGCTACTAAACACAACTTGGATGATAAAGCTAAAACTTTCACGCATGTATTGCCCAATCAGAACAATGAGTAAAGTTGCTGCTGTTTACAGTGTCTTAGTGTCAAGAATGACCACAAACAGGCAGTAGAAATATAACTTGGTAAAGGAAATTACTCTAAACACAACTTTTTTTTTCTTCAAACAAAAGCATAAAAAAGAATGTAAAAACACACAGGCAAGAAAACAGAGCATTAGACCCATAAAGTTTGAGCACACTCCCATGATTTACCATAAAAAAAAAAAACTCAAACTTGTATGCATAAGCTTATAATTTACTAGATCCTCCCTCAAATCTTTTTTTATAAAAGACACTGATAAAGAATGTTTCAGTCACCAGGAGTTCCTTTTTGTCCAGAGATATTCTAAAATAAAATAATTCAATGAATGCTTCCACCAGCTACTTCTTTAGTTCCTTCATGTTTTAGTACATACATCAAGAAAAATTGAAAACTGATAATCAAATATTCATCTGATATTTTAACAATATTCTGAACCAATTAATTTAATTGTAAGATCTGATCTTCATTATTAAATAATACAGTACGTTAAGGTAAACAGCATAACTTAAGGAAAAGGCCTTTTAGAAATTGGTTACTACTGCTTGTTTCTCTAGATAGTTTTCCTAAATTCTCCAAAATGTTGGATGAAAAATAACCTGTAATTTCCAGATTCCCAACCACTTGCAAGAAAGTCAGACTTTCAACATTGTAAACTTGTAAATTATTTGACACTGTACAAAATTCCTGTTTCTTAAATTCAACAGCATGAAAAAAAGGTTCACAGCAAAGAATAAAAAATAAATATGGATTATTCTGCAAGCCATTTTACCTGATTACCATAATCATAAGAATCTCAAACCACATTCCACAGAAACATTAATACCATGATATGCCTCTGTAGTGAAACACCATTTTACTTATTTTATTAGAGAAAAGTTAGAGGTATATAAAACTATCAAAATTGTTGTATAAAGTCCCCAATTAGAATATCAAAAATATATGTACACTGAAGAAACAGCATTTTAAAATTTTATAAGAAACATTTAGACAAGGTGTACTTTCAAATCATCAGCAGCATGTTGCTCTTGGTCAAACTAAGCAATTGATTAAAAGTGAAAACAATCAAACAAAGATTGATAAAATAATAAGATGCCTACTAGTTTAACATTTAATGATTTTAAAAAATGAATGGATAAGAAAAAATTACAAAATGGTAGTTACTTCTTTCAAAAATTTTAATTTTGTAATACTTTGATAACTGTAAGTTGACAAAGCATATTAAATAACAGCTTGAAAGTTATGAATGTTTTAACACATAAAAATTCAAGAATTTCAATAGAAGAAATTTAAAATACATCTTAAAACCAATTATTTCAAAAGTTGAATGGATGTTTTGGATTCCCAAACAGAACTGTTCACAACAGTAAAATGAAAGAAAGTTGAAAAGGATAAGCAGTTTATCATTTGTCCAAGTGGTGAAACGAAATGATTGACAATGAAAGCTTGAAAAGTAGGGGAATAGTTTTAAGCTTTAAAATCCCAGATGTGGATTTGTTTTTCAGCAAAATTAATCCTTATTGGTGAAAAAACTTGTGGAATGTTTTCCCATAACTCTTTTGTTTGTATTATAATATTAAGCTGTTCTTATACACACACACACACACACACTACAGGTTTATTTGTTTGTTGTTAAGCACAAAGAAACACAATGGGCTATCTGTGCTTTGCCCACCATGGATTTCAAAATCCAGATTTTAGCATAATAAGCCCACAGACTTACTGCTGAACCATTGGAGAACATGTTAGAAGTGTTAAGAACTATATTCAGTTTAGACTCGATGCTTTGGATGGTTTGTTCTAGTAGATAGGTGGCACTGATGAGTAGAGGTGGGTGATTAGCTAGCTTAACAAAAATTATGTTTAAATTGATTAATGAAAAAAAAAAGCAACTAATCGAAATTAAGATTTTTGATTATTAAAATTTTTGGTTATTTCAACTATCATGTGAAAATG